AGGCGTACAGTTTAGCACTCAAAATCAAAGTAGAGTGAATTGAGACAAATCATTAAGCGTTATCGGCTAACTAACTATTAGACGCCAATTAGACACAGAGGCTCTAATTAATTTTCAAAAAACCAAAAAAACTATATACGTTTTTGTTGATTGATACTCCATTTGAGGATTAGATTATGAAAAACGCAATTGCAAGCGTTAAATCAGCGCTCAGCAAAAAATATTGAGGTGCAACTAATCCGACAGTACATGGACAGAAGCCAGGTATTTCAAAAACAAACAAGTACTCATGATTCGTAAACTTTTTCCTGTTAAGTGTTCACGCCACGCCGCCTTGGGAGTCGCAGCGTTGAATAAGCATTCGGTTAAGACATGAAGCGCTAACTCAGCCATTCATACTTCAGAAAACGCCAGTAGAGTCAAAATTACATTTTTTGCAATGTAGTATGTTTTAAATATAAGTTAATAAAAATAAGTATTCCTTGAAAATTCACAACTTACTTCTAAATAACGCAAAAAGGGCGATGCAGTATTAACTGATACAAAATAAACTGACCCCATTTAAACCGAATGAAATTTTTAATACAAAAATTTTGTTGCACGTAACAAGGCATAGCACTCCATAGTATGACCGAAGCGACTCAGTTAGTATTCATGGTTTAGAAGATCGGTGAAATTTCTACGGCCAATTTTGTGCTAAAATTTTCCATATAATTTTGTAATTAGTTTTATTTTTTAATGTCAACATGCTCCGCAAGGATTCGTTTTTTGACGTTTTTTGTAGCGTCGACAATTGCCATTTGCGATCAGCTTTTTTTAAGAGTAATTACTTCCTCAAGAGGCAAAACAAGGGTGTCTTGCATGGATAACACCTTTGAGCAGACTACTGAAAACATATGGAAAAAATCTTCAAAAAATTAACCAAAAAAGATCTGAATTTTGTAGATTGACCAAAGAAAAGATCTGAATTTTGTGTTTGAAACATGTGCTCGTAAAAAATTTAGAGCGGAAATTACTATAGCATTAAACTAACAGTCAATCGAAAATACTCATCATTGTTCGCAACAGAATTTTTATCTCTATCTGGTATGTAATTAGCTATGTTGACCCGGGTATGTATGTATAATCATACTTATGTTCAGACTGTGCAGACGAATGTTCAGACTTTGCAGACTCATTTTCAGACTCTGCAGAGTTATGTTCAGACTTGGCAGACTTCTGTTCTGATTTTGCAGACTTATAAGTAAACTTTGCAGACTAATGTTCAGACTTTGCAGACTTATGTTTAGACTCTGCAGATTTTGACCTGCGTTGCGACTATGAAATTTTGGGCGGGTGTTTTTTTTTGATGAATCAAATTTTTTTTCTCGTTATCAAAATAACTGTTTTCAATTGCAAAAAGGTTATATTCCATTAAATATATTGACTCCATGGGCCTACAGTGTAGCACTCAAAATCAAAGTAGAGTGAAATGAGACAAATCATTAAGCCTCATCGGTTAACTAACTATTAGAGGCCAATTAGACACAGAGGCTCCAATTAGTTTTTAAAAAACCGAAAAAACAATATACGTTTTCGTTGATTGATACTCCATTTGAGGATTAGATTATGAAAAACGCAATTGCAAGCGTTAAATAAGCGCTCAGCAAAAAATATTGAGGTGCAACTAATCCGACAGTACATGGAGAGAAGCCAGTTATTTCAAAAACAAACAAACACTCATGACTCGTAAAAATTTTTTGCTGTTAAGTGTTCACGCCACGCCGCCTTGGGAGTCGCAGCGTTGAATAAGCATTCAGTTAAGAAATGAAGCGCTAACTCAGCCATTCATACTTCAGAAAACGCCAGTAGAGTCAAAAATACATTTTTTGTCATTAGTTATGTTTTAAATATAAGTTAATAAAAATAAGTTTTCCCTGAAAATTCACAACTTACTTCTAAATAACGCAAAAAGGGCGATTCAGTATTAACCGATACAAAATAAACTGACCCCATTCAAACCGAATGAAATTTTTAAAACAAAAATTTTGTTGCACCTAACAAGGCATAGCACTCCATAGTATGACCGAAGCGACTCAGTCAGTATTCATGGTTTAGAAGATCGTTGAAATTTCTACGGCCAATTTTGTGCTATAATTTTCCATATAATTTTTTATTTACTTTTATTTTTAATGTCAAAATGCTCCGCAAGGATTCGTTTTTTGACGTTTTTTGTAGCGTCGACAATTGCCATTTGCGAACAGCTTTTTTTCAGAGTAATTTTTTTCCTCAAGAGGCAAAACAAGGGTGACTTGCATGGATAACACCTTTGAGCAGACTACTGAAAGCATCTGGAAAAAATCTTCAAAAAATTAACCAAAAAAGATCTGATTTTTGTAGATTGGCCAAAAAAAGATCTGAATTTTGTGTTTGAAACATGTGCTCGTAAAAAATTTAGAATGGAAATTACCTAGGCCTTAAACTAACAGTCAATCGAAAATAATCATCATTGTTCGCAACAGAATTTTTATCTCTATGTGGTATGTAGTTAGCTATATTGACCCGGGTATGTATGTATAATCATACATATGTTCAGACTGTGCAGCCGAATGTTCAGACTTTGCAGACTCATTTTCAGACTCTGCAGAGTTATGTTCAGACTTGGCAGACTTCTGTTCTGATTTTGCAGACTTATAAGTAAACTTTGCAGACTAATGTTCAGACTTTGCAGACTTATGTTTAGACTCTGCAGATTTTGACCTGCGTTGCGACTATGAATTTTTGGGCGGGTGTTTTTTTTTGACTCCATGGGCCTACAGTGTAGCACTCAAAATCAAAGTAGAGTGAAATGAGACAAATCATTAAGCCTCATCGGTTAACTAACTATTAGAGGCCAATTAGACACAGAGGCTCCAATTAGTTTTTAAAAAACCGAAAAAACAATATACGTTTTCGTTGATTGATACTCCATTTGAGGATTAGATTATGAAAAACGCAATTGCAAGCGTTAAATAAGCGCTCAGCAAAAAAATATTGAGGTGCAACTAATCCGACAGTACATGGACAGAAGCCAGTTATTTCAAAAACAAACATGTACTCATGACTCGTAAACTTTTTGCTGTTAAGTGTTCACGCCACGCCGCCTTGGGAGTCGCAGCGTTGAATAAACATTCAGTTAAGACATGAAGCGCTAACTCAGCCATTCATACTTCAGAAAACGCAAGTAGAGTCAAAAATACATTTTTTGTCATGTAGTGTTTTAAAGATAAGTTAATAAAAATAAGTTTTCCCTGAAAATTCACAACTTACTTCTAAATAACGCAAAAAGGGCGATGCAGTATTAACCGATACAAAATAAACTGACCCCATTTAAACCGAATGAAATTTTTAATACAAAAAACGGCAAAAAAAAAATATTATATGAAATTAGGTTGGCAAGTTTACAAGTATTAGGAACATATTGAAACAAAAATTACCTAAATCGCAAAATTTCTATTGTTCTGACAACTAAATTAACAAAAAATAAATGAATTGTAGCTATGTGACTCAAAGCAGGGGCGGATCTAGGATTTTCTCGAGGGCGCGGGGCGGAGTTTCAAAAGTTGTTGAAAATTTTGACCGTTTTTTTTCTTTAGGTCGACCAAATTGATTTTCAGCGCTCTACTAAAGCAGTAAAAAGGCGCGGTTTTGGCCAAATTTTCTGCTCCACAGGAAAATATTTGAAAAAACGGGTCACTGTACGCTCATGGAGTGTACGCTACACTGTACGCTCATGGAGTCAATATATTTAATGGAATATAACCTTTTTGCAGTTGAAAACAGTTATGTTGATCTTCAGAAAAAAAAATTTGATTCATCAAAAAAAAAATCAAAAATAAATTTGATTAATCACTTTGGGCACTTTTTCGAAAACTTTCACAAAAAAAAACGTTTTGTTGGCTCGCGCTCCCCCTCAAAGTTAGTATATATTGGCGCCTTTAGAAAAATATTAGGTTCCGTCACCAAATATGGATATCTCAAAATAGAACAAAGCCCAGTGGTTGACAGGGGTTCGAATCCCTGAGGTAAGAAAACGTCCAGCCCCCGTCACCCCTTCCCTAAATCCGCCCCTGACTCAAAGAGCAAGTAAAGTTTGAATTTACAAAAAGAAAAGGAGAAACCAAAGATTCAATGATTAAGTTGCTTCTAAGTAGAAAATAAGTCTATCATTTGATGAAATAAAGCCAGCTAATCGCAAGCATTGTGATTCGATACCTGATATTTCGTGTTTTAGGCGGAACGTTCTTTAAAATAGGGAGACGCTATAACGGTCAGTCGGTACAACCAGAGTTATGTCCTGAAACCAGCAGTCATGTCACTATTTGATTTATATAATTGTCTTGTTTTTTCCTCAAAAAGCCATAGAAAGTCAATGGGCTATAGATGTTCAGAAAAACAGCTAAGAAAAAAAAATCCAAAAAAATCATAGCGCTATTCAAAAGCGAAATAGGAAAGTTCAACAGGATTTCGAGCCTTTAAACGATTTTAGCCCTTTCTCATATGGCACATTCGTTTAAAAATGATATCATGGAATCGCTACGTAACAAACTGACTTGGTTATATCTACCAAAAAAAAATAAGCAGAGGAATTAAATTGCCAAAGACCCATATCATAGTTTCTTTCATTTTACATCTCACGGTAATTCAAGATTTCAAATCAGAGTTGATTAGTTTTACTTCTTTCTAGCTCAAGTTATATCAAAATTATAGTAGTTTGTTTATGTTGAGAATTATTTATTGAAGTCACAAGTTGAAAAATCAGTGTTTAGCAATCTTAAAGCAACTAAATTTCTAATTTTTCTAACTAAGCAATTTGATATCATAACTAGTATTTTGGGTTTTAGCTTCGTCGGTTATTGATAGGTAAAATGTTTTCAGAGAAAATTGGCTCAATTTGCGTAACTATTGAAAAGGCGAACCCTGTCTCATTGTTTTTCCTAAATAAATTTGCAGCAAATTTTTAAAGTAAATTTCAACTCATCTATCAAAATAGTCTGTTTTAGCTCCCTTTTTATCAGCTTTCATTCAGTCGTTTTCGAGATAAACCGTAACTTTATGTCTTTATCTCAAGGACTGATAATTTGCATTGAACTTTGTTGGAATTTAATTAATCTGAATGAGAAAGCGAAACTCTTTTTTAATGCAAATGTTTTTGTTTGTAAAGCGCTTCCTCGTGTACATATCGGCCACTATGTCTTTTGTGTGACCCATTGTGATATTTGTATGACTCGTATATTTTTTATGGTCATTATGGTCATTTTGTGGATATTATGGCCTTTGTATGACCAGTATGGCTTTGTGTGGCCTTTGTATGTGTCTTCTATGGTTGCATGAATGAGACCAGAATGTATCTAGTGCCTTTCGTAGTGTTCAGCCCACTGTGCAGATGTGTGAGTTGTCCCGGATGCACCAGAACATCCCCTGGCTCACTATCCAGCACAGAGCAGTTCTGTCTGGCGAAGTAGGTGCCCCCTCCCTCGAAGTCCACACCCCTCTGGTTCAAGGCCACGTTTAAGGAATATGTGGAGGCATCGTTGTGCAACCCCAAGTATGCCTGCTCGTTCGGGTGGTAGCGGGCAATGAAAGATTGGCCGGGGTCTTCCTGGAAATAAACAACGATGAAATAAATAGTTTTCATGCGAAAAATTTGCAGATAAACAATTCCACTTAGTGGTTCAAATATGAACAATTTTGTTTATTTTCCTATTAATAGCAATTGCGGATCAAGAGGCTTTAGTCATGTCAGAAGCACCCAATGTAAATTCTCAATCAAACAACGTCCCTAAAATTGTCCAAAACTGACTAATTTTTGCGCTTGCTATTCGAATTTTTGAACTCGGAATTCTGATTTGGCTGAAAAATTTTGGGCCATTCAGGGATGAGTGCTTCCCCTAAAAATAGCGCCTATTTTTCAAAAAGTAAATTTCGAATACAAAGGTTATAAATTTTGAAATGAAATTAAAATAGAGAAAAGCGAGAAGAAAACAACTATTTCCTCTTTTAGTTCTTCTTTAAGCTAGTCACTTTTTTTTTCCACATAACGGCGTGAAAATGAGCATAAACTTCGTGAAAAAAGACCAAGATGCTAGATTAGGATACTCACGACTACAACGTCGAAGTCGAACTGTGGGTAGAGTGTGTGGAAGATGGGGAAGAGGAGGTGGTGGACTGTCTGGAGCCATGGCTCGAACATCCCCACCTGCTCGAATTGGATGTCCACTGTGGGGTGGGTCTCCGTGTAGATGTCCCCGCTACGGTTCACCTTAAACCAATATTATCGCAGAGTCCATGAAAAATTCAACGCGCACCTCAATATGCAATGGTGGTTGAAAACTGGTTGACAGAAATAAAAAGAAAAGGAATTCCTAAAATGTCTCATAATTTGGCTACTGTGAGACAAAAATGACATAAAATATTTTTACCAATCATTAGTGGTTCACATTTTTATTAAGAATCAAGCATTAATGAATTTTGATCAAGGTAATTTTATTCCTCTGGAAACCTCAAACAAATGTAAAACCATTTTGTAAATGATTTTTTTTTTAAAATAAAATTCATGTTTTTTGCTCCAAATACATTTTTTTGATATTTTAGAGCATTATGAGTTATAACCGAGGTGGTTAACTCATAGAGTAATTTCGGATAAGGTACACCGTCTGCTCGTCACGCTATCTTATTTTCGGCCGGATAGATTCGTGCAACTTCTTAGTCTAATACCGATCCTAATCTTACTCTTATACTATCTAGTCTCAGGTTGTTTAACTAGTCTCTGCTAGGCTCAAAAGATCTAGGGTATACTGGTTTATTGCGGCTGCTGAAGTTCGCTTGGAGAGTGAGAGTCAACTAATTTCTAAGTTAAATTCAAATCTCTCTGGTGCTGAAATTACAAGTAATTTCAGCACTTACAAATAAGTGGGTTGTTAGTTAGATGGATCATGATTGGTTAATATTAAATACTTTACAGTGGTAAAATATCTAATTTATCCAATCATAAAATGTAGTTTAGATCAGATTCCACCCATCCGGGTTTTACAGAGTTTTTTAGAATAGTCTTCTGTAATTCAAAGGATGGATGATGGACGTTGGTATTTGGCGAACATCATAATTCTTCTGGGTTTTCGTGTTAGAGAAGTTCCAGGTTCAATCGCTGTGTCTTCTCATGACAACGACTGGGTTTTCGCAACAAACTCAAATCTGATTTCAGAATGGTTGGCTATGACAGGTTTTTCTGTTCCATGTAGAGAACTTCTTTTGGGTTGACCTTGTCTGGGAATGGCGTGGAGATTGTGCGTGGAGGGGATGCCTGGTTACTCGGATCTGTACGTATACTTGAAAATCGAGGTGGTCATTAGTCTAGTTCAATGAAGTCCTTTTCTGCGAAGTCAAGTCGTACTCTAAATCCTTTGAGTTGTGATTGTGGGCGGCATATTGATTGTGGTTGGCCATTCTTTTTCGAGTGTAGTGGAGTCATTTTGTCTTTGGATGTTCGTCTTTGGTGTTGTATGCTGATCTATATACTGCAAGGTATAATTTACATTTTATAAAATTTTATTAGTTTGGTGTTTTAATTATGATTTTGGTTAGTTGTTTTCACAAAAGCTTTTTGTTTTAGTTCAGTTATTTTGAAGAGTTACTCACCCTTGAGTACCTCTTATTAAAAATAGAAGTGTGGTCACAAAGCGTGGATGTAGCGCGGTGGGTTAGGCTGGCTATAGAGCATGCTCAGGACGTCCTCTCTGGTGGGTTAGGCCAGGAGTGGGAGTATGATTTCGTGCGGTTTCTGTGAGGGGTCCTGTTGTGTGATAACGTTTTATGTTGGGTTTATTGTGGTTTTTCTTATGTTTCGTTGGTTGTGTCCTTTTTTCAAAAATCAAATTGTTTTTGGTATGGGTTTGTCTTTCGACTTTTTTGTGTTTTATTATTTCTTTTTTAGACTTTATAATAGTCTTCAAAAGAATAAATTATCCAGTTTTAAACTGGGTTTATCCGGTTTGGGTACCGTTGGTTTCCTTTTCTTAGTCATGCTGTTATTCTATGTGTTGTGGTGTTTAGTAAGCTGCGTTGGTTAGTTTTGTTTAGTATATAATTCCTTTCCAACCGGGTTAAAGGAAAGTTTGAAACTTGTTATCGTGTGTTAGAGTTGTTGAGTGTGAAAGCTTGAAACTGAAATTCATTATTTAAACAATTCTTCGTGGGCGAGCTGTGCGAGTTTGGATAGAATTTTTGTGCGAGTGAATGGAAATATCAAAAGGTTAGTACTGCATTTTCGTCTTATCAATTTACTACATAGAATTTCAATTTTACTGCTAGTTTTGGGGAAAAATTAAGTTACAAAGTTTCATTATTATTAGAATTACTGCTTTTAGGGAAATAATTTATAAATTAAATTACTACATTGGTATGAACTTTATTTAATTTAGCTGGTGCAAAAGATTATTAGAGTTTTGGAAAATTTGAAGAAGTTTTCTATTTTTTATTTTTCTTTTGTGTATTTTGCAGATGATCGTGAGATGAAGACTAAAAATCTAAATAAAACATGGATAAAGAATGGTTAGTGTTTTATTTTAAATTTATTAGTTAAGAATATGTATAAATTATACTTACCTGTTAGTCGTCGGGGGAAAAAACCGTGGGGGAAGACGTCGTGGATTATGTTGGAATTTGTTAGTAACTTTGCTAGTATGCGAATGATGTTTTTAGTTTGAAGCAGTGGCCAAAGCAATTGAAGTGCTTTAATGGTTTTTAGTTCTTCAGTGCCAACTGCAAAATCATAGGGTGTGTTTTGGATGAGATTATATAATTTGTGGTTATATTTAGTGTTGTGGATGAATTCTAATATGGGGATTTCTATAGGTTGAACAAATTCATGTGGGATAAGGAAGGGTCTGGATTCTTCTGCGTTGAAGGTCTTTGTGATGGGACAAAAAATATACATTTGGGTTATGGGATCATAATTGCGAAGAATACCGTGAAGGTTAGTATCTTTGATGCAATATGTGAAGTTAAGAAAAAATGGTGAAGTGTACTTAGAGTTAATAAATTGAAAACGGTGGTGTGGTTGTCTTGATGGAGTGTGTAGATCAAAGTGATTTTGTATGAAGCGATAATATGTATATGTGTGGGTTTGTTTAGTGCGTAACATAATGTCGTGTGAGCAGTGCAAATCTTTTTCATGTGGTGCAAGGAAATGAAAGGTTAGTGAAAATATTGAAATTTTTCTTTAAAACTTTCGTAAGCCTGTGTGTCGGTTAGTGCTTCAGAAATGATGTGGTCGAATTTGCGATCAAATATATTGAGTGTAAATACATATGTTGTTTTGATGAAAAATTTTTCTGTGATTTGTGGGTTAGCGAAACGGTCATCATCTAAAAATTGGTCTTGGTTAGTTCGGATGATGTTGTGATCGTAATATTCTAGCGTGTATTCGTTAGCTCGGGGTGCAGTGTATGTTTTTAGTGACTTTTTATATCCTATATAAGTAAATTGTCTATGTGATAATGGTGTGGTGAGTCGATATAGCATATCTTTATTTCTTTCTATATCGATGTGAGTATTAGATAAAGGTAGGCAAAGGGGATTAGTAAAATGATAATATGATGTCCATTGAAGTGTAGGCATTAAAACGTAGTCATCTACAAAACTGCGTGTGTTGTTAGTGTCGTTAGGGGTGTTTAAAGTATACTGTGGAAATGAAGGTAGGGTGATGACTAAAAAATCTTTCGTGTTAGTGTGATTTGGATGATTAATATATTCACGGGCTGTTCCTGGTTTTGTTGGAAATGGATGGTTCGGGAATTTTCTTTTAAAAGTGCGATAAGCTCTATTAGTGCTATTTGATGATTCGGTGGATGTGGAGGATGGTGCTAATGATGCGGTATAAGCTGAAGAGGGTGTAGGGGTAGGTGGGTTTGATGATTCTATTGTGGATGAAATCTGATTTATAGTGGAATGTTCAAGGTGGAAGGGTTGTTGTTGTAGGGTGATAAAATTATCTAGTTCCTGGGAGATTTGGGGAGTATCTGGAGAATTGGATGATCGGTCTGAATGAAATGAAGAGTAGGTTGGGGTGATTTGTGAAGCATAAGAGGGTGTAGAAATCGATGGGAGTGGGTTATTTGGCGGGATTGGTTGAAAAGGGGGTTTTGAAAAAACTGAGGAGTTGGTTTGAAAATTATTGGATGGAGATGGTTCAGAGTCTGCAAATTCATCAGGGGTTTCAATATCTGGGTTATTGAGTTGTGAGATGGAGTATAAAACTGAGATATGTGAATTAGTGTCTGAATTCATGCCTGATGTTACATTATTGGTTGGGAAATCGGGTGGCGGGAAAGCAAAAAGTGGAATTATTGTAATTGGAGTGTTGAGGTTGGTCGGGTGGGAATTTGAGCGGTGTAGGGATCCAAGTTGTCGGCTCATCGTGGGCTAAAAAAATTATTATTTTGAGACTGAAAAGCGGTGGTATGGGGTTGTTCTATAATTTGTTCATATGTATTTTCATCTAGTGGATGGTGTGTCATTATATGTTGAATGGGACTTTGTGATATGGTTGGTCTAAAATTTGGATTATGTGTTACTGCTAAATTTCGAAAATTTCGTGGGACTAGTGATAGTGGATGGTTATGTGGTAGGGGTGGTAACTGTGGTGCTGTAGGCGTTATGTCTACATTGTTATGTTCTTCGTCGTATGTGTTCTGTCTTGTTGCTATTTTTGTGTTGTATTCTTTTATTTGTGCGTCTAAAAGAACTTTGTTTATTGATGACGAAAAAATTCCAAAAAATCCTGCAAATAGTATGCGTGCTACACTTGCTTGTCTATTTACTTGTGTGTGTATAGCGCATGTATTATAGATTCCTTTTAAAAGCGAAAAAAGAAATCCTATAAAGTTAAACATTGCGTATAAAATAGTTAATTTTTCTAAGATGTAGTAGGGCCATCCTAGAAAATCGAGAATTTCATTTTTTAGTGTAACAAAGCTAAAAATATTTATAGGTGAAATATCTTGTGGTCTATATTTTTCACCGTTTAGATATATATAGTCTTTAATGTCTTTAAAATATCCGCTATAGTCTTGTGTATAAATATCTGCAAATCCTGGGGTTTCGGCAAGTTTGCGTAAGTTTTGGTCAATTGACTGTCTTTGTATAGTGTCCATTTGTGTTAGTAATTCTTGGAATTGTTGTGTTCTAATGTGATGTTGGAGGATATCGGATTTTGAATATATTCCAATTGATTGTAGGTCAATATTTGGGTTTCGAGCAATA